TTTTTTTTTTTTAAATATAAATATTTAAACAATTTTTGTGCAAAATTTTTCTGCACATGCATTTGAATATAAATTTCTGAGATTTTAAATCTGTTATTTTACCTTAATTTTAATTAAAAAATATTTTAAAACCTGCTGATTACCTATAGTATAATTAAATTTCAATATAATGCATGGCAACTGTTGGTAGTTTTGAAGTTTATATATTTTCTTGGCAAACTTCAGTTTTTGACATTTTTGACGGTTTAAACCAGTATTATACCCGTGTCATGTCAAAAACTACTTTTTGACGTCAAAAACCCAACCCTGATTTAAATCTAGCTAATTAAAAAATGAAAATAATAAATTTTTTGGGAGATTTTTAGTTGATGATAGAAAAGTTTTTCAATTTATTTTTCAAGAAACTGTTGTAGATATGTATTTTAATTTTATCTTTCATAAATTGAGAGGAATTATACTATTTCTCATTTTTGAAAAAATACTTTTTTTTTAAAACTTAAACTGCAAATGAGAACTTTCCGTAAATTTTTTTCTATACATTATTTTTAAAATTAAATCTTTTTAATTCTGATACTATTACTTTGTATATTTTTGTATCTTTAAAATGTGAACTCATAAGGACTTTTTTACATTTTGAAAGTCTTTATATCAATTTCATCAATATGGTGCTTAATTTACAAACTTTAATTTCTTCTAGTAATTCCAAAAAGGACAAGATCATAGGATACCCCATTCATATTGAAAATCAGAAATATCCCCGGAATAGATTAATATTCAATCTATGTTTTGTGTGTGATGCATCAAAGAAAACAACTCAGTATGAACCCATTGTCAGAAAATTAGCAAACTACCTGGTAAAATTAGAGGTAAGAAAAATACTATCAATTTTTGTATTATTCTTAATATTAAATTAGTTTTTTCTTCCTAGTTGACATACCAGTCATAAAGTTAGAAGGTATTATGAAGTTTGGTTCAATAATTTTCAGATCAATTTTAAAGACTATATAAAGGTTATGACAAGTTCTTTCTTTTCAAATGTGGGTTTATTTGCTAAATGCCCAGTGAATGAGACCAGGGAAATATTCTGGAAATATTTCATCTTCATGTTTCGATAATTTTTTTTTTAATATGGAGTAATTTTTTCCATGTCTTAATCTTGGAAATGTTCACCAATAATTTGAATATTTTATTTAAAGGTTCTTTACAGCATAGAATAAAAATATTAAATGTTTAGATTAATGTACCAGGAAACCTCAAATTTGCAAACCCTTCAAATTAAGGAAAATTTTCAAAAAAACCTCCAATAGTTTTCTATGAATTAACCATTATAACATTAGGCAGACACTCTCTTAAATGAATACAAACATTAATTTGTAATATTACATCAAAGAAATTCTCAATTAAAGGTAAAAAAATCTCTTGAATCTCTTCAAGACATACACTTGACATTTTTATAAATGATTTTTTGTGTCTCATGTATTTTTTAAAGGACAAAATAATGGTATAGGGGTGGTTTTTTGTGGAGAGAGAGAGGAAGAAAAAAGCTCCAAAACTACCTGTTCTTTACTGGTAGGTACTGCCACCGCCTGTTTAATACTTTTCATACTTAAGTATTTTATATTAATTTCAGAACCATTCATTAGTAACTCCTTCCTAGAATTTCCCAGAATAGTTCAGAGGGTTATTGATTAACTAAGGCACTTTTTCCCTCCAAATTAATGTTGTAATTTGTAGAGCTTCGCGAAGCATTTTAAAACTATTTTAAAATGCTTCGCGGACATCAGATATGATAAAATCATTTAAAATAAACTTTTATTAGACTTCATTATTTTTCTTTGTTTGAACAATGTAAAACAGTATGTTAGTGGCACATTGAATTTTTATATGGTTAATTTTCGTGACTTTATTAGATTTAAATCAATATTAACACAATTTCTAATTGTGTTTTTATTTTTACCATCATAATAGCATAGATTTTTGAATTATCATGTTGTTCTTCAAAACTGATAATTTTTTCGATCTCGAGGCTATTAATTTTACCAAGGTTTATGTGTATCTAAACATTATTTCTTTTTTTTCTTATTGAATATATAAGTGACCACTTAAAGAAACTGATTTTAGAGAATAATTACTAAACAAATTGTTAACTGTGATACTTTCTTTTCATACAGTTGGAAGATGGATTTTTAGTTAATGAAGAAACCAAAGCTAGACTTCCTGGTATAATGGACAACATTAGGCACGAGCTCAACAAAACTGGTCAATGTTCTATACCAATAAGTAAATTTCTCTCTCTTTTTATTAGTAGTAGTTTTGCTGCTGTCTATATATATATATAAGTTTTGTACATTAGACATCTTCTTT